GATTTGAGTAAAGCTGCCCAGCAGGTATTAAGCTAATCTGGAAAGTTTGAGGAGTTGCTTGAAAAATTTGAGTTAAAGCTACTGCAGCAGAGCTTCCATTTCAACTGAGGCAGTATTCAAAATATTCTCCATTTGCATAGCTGCTTCCCTATTTTTGCTGTTCCTGAGTAGTTAGTTGATATTTTTCTTTAAATTGGCTCACTTCTTTTTACTACTATAAATTTGTTTATAAAAGAAACCAGGGCATTAAGGGAAAAAGGAAATGAGATGTAGGAAGTACCAGGGCCCAGAGGGGAGGAGTTCTACACCCTGGGAGAGGCCAGAGAGAGTGGCTTTGGAGCTGGGACTCATGGGTCGCTGGGAGTTGAGGCTGTGACAGCAGGCAGTGGGGAGAGAGGGACAGCCAGACCCAGGGTATCTTTAACAGACCTGGGGGTAGGAATCTCCAACCTGAGATGAGAAGGTGGGCAAGGAGTTTGGGGTCTGAACCTCATATAGAGGTACTTAGGGGTTAGGGTAGGAGGGTAGAAGCAAGCACTGAGAGAAGGGGGCTGAGAAGGAGGGCAGAGGCTGAGGCCCAGGAGAGTGCTGGGAGGGCTAAAGGGAAGAGGCAACCCAGAGGGGAGCGCTGGACCCAGATCCCAAAGGGTACAGAGGGGCCACATTTGGGGCAAAGCAAGCCAGGCCTCACCCGTGGTCCCAGTTGGTTCAGGCTACATAGGTCACTACCTTGAGTTTGGACCATTCGTATGGTTAGCAGCCTGAGAGAGATGTTGGTGTGGGGTCTGGGGGCCCTGAGAATCATCTTGGCACCGCCAGCAGGCCCACATTTGGGGAGTGTTGAGCCGAAGCTGCTGTCTGGGGGTTGGCTGGCACCCTGCTTGCACTGAGCCTTAGGAGCAGCCTGTAGTGTCTGTAGTGACCAGGCACTTAGGGATTCCTCCGTAGTGCTGTTGCAGCGTTGGCCACAGGCTGTAAGGAATGAAAATGACCAATCTTGTAGTCCACAGAGCAGACTAGGGAAGTGCCCAGAGCTCTGTGCTTTACTTCCTTCCCGTGGCATCAGGCAGTCACATACCACTGGTGATCCTGGGGAAATGTCTGCCTCCTACAGGCTTGGGGAGAAATTACTGCCAGGTAGTAATCTGACTATTCCCATTCCTTGGACCCAGCCTTTCTAGCTGATTCACTGGGGCGGTTTGTTCATTCAGTACCTGATGTCACACAGAATGGCCTCCCACTGTGTCCTCCACATCTGAGTCCTATCTATGAATCTCCATATCTGAGTCCCATTTATGAGTCTGGCTTTGGAGAGCAAGGTTTAATTACTTGTATCATTTACTTACCTGGCTCCAAGTTTTATTATAAGAAAGGCCTTTAAAAAATTATGTTCTCTTCTTTTTTAAAAAAGATTTTATTTATTTTTAGAGAGAGGGGAAAGGAAGGAGAAAGAGAGGGAAAGAAACATCATGTTTGGTTGCCTCTCACATACCCCCAACTGGGGACCAGGCCTGCAACCCAGGCACGCGCCCTGACTGGGAATCGAACCACTGACCCTTTGGTTCGCAGGCCGTCACTCAGTCCACTGAACCACATCAGCCAGGGCTGTTCTCTTCTTTGTAGGGCACCTTTCTTTTAAGTTAATTATGGCTATTCTATGTTTACTGGACCCCTTAGTGCCTTGCTTTTTGAGTAAATCAGGAGTTCATTCCCCTCAATATGTAAAACTGGATGCAGGTGGATTGTCAGAGGTCCTGCTCTGTGTCTGGTACAAAGCCCCGTGAAGACGGCAGGAGACCTGCTCCGGGCTTCTGGGCTCAGGTTGGTGCAAGTGGTAGAACCAGTTATGAGGACTCCAGGAAGGGCTGGGCAGCTGCTAATTCATGACTCATTCTCTATGATGTAGGCTCTGGGGGGATTACATTTCCTGCCCACACTGGCTCTCTTGACAGTCTGCTATAGTGATTTCTTCCCTTTTCCAGACTTGATTTCTCAAAAGGAGATGTTAGGTAGGAGGGGAAATTGTGAAATAGTGGTAAGGTCTCCTAGTGTCAGGACAGCACCCACTTCCTTCCGCTCCTCAGTGGGCCTGACCTAGTTGACACAGTTGAGGCTTGCTAATTGTTTTGGTGGAGAACAAATGAATGTTTGCTCCTTTCATTCAATAGGCAGGAAGGCTGTGGGTGGGAAGTCTCAACTGTCACCTAGCTCCTCCCTGAAGTCTCAGGAAATGCAAATGAATGTTTCCAGGTATTAAGGAGACCAGAAGACTTTAGGGGAAATCTATAGGTAAAGAAGGAAACTGCAAGTGCTAAGACAATGCAGTAGCCTTTGGCAACTTCGGTGGCTACTTGCACCCTCCTAAGCGATCCCAGTTTCATAGAGAAGCTGCCAAACTCGGTGCTTTGGATAAGCAGTCCTGTCTTTATCTCTCATCATTCCACATTGGGTCTCTCTATTTCTCTGATCTTCTAAAAGTTCCTCCTCCTTCCCAACTTTAACATAGTTAAGGAAAACATTGTTGTCCTGGTTGGTGAGGCCCTGTGACCAAGGGGTCGCCAGTTGGATTCCCAATCAGGGCACATGCCTGGGTTGTGGGCCGGGTCCCCATTTGGGGTCAAGTGGGAGGCAACCAGTCCGTGTCTCTTACACATCAATGTTTCTCGTTCCCTTCCGCTCTATAAATAAATAAATAAATAAATAAATCTTTTTGGAAAAGAAAAATATTGCATCTTTTTGCCCTCATCTAGCCTCTGAGCTGCTCATGAGGTAGGATTATTTCATAATAAACAATATTGACACCAGAAGCTTTTTCAAAGGCCTACTTTAGGAGAATTGTGTTTACTTCATGAGAAATTCTTCAGGCAGCAGTCACTCCATGAGGGCCGGGCAAAGCTGGGAGTCCAGTTTGTAACACAAAACACTGAACTCCAGGCCAACTGGTTCGAAGTCAGCACTGGCCTTCCAGGCTAAAACCCAGGAATGGGCCCTGCCCAGAGCAGGCTTAGCCGCTAAAGATAGTAATAACTAGTTAATCAGGACAGACACACTTGACCAGCATTCTTAGGCCAGCTGGGTTTTGGTTCATGGCCTCTCTGGAAGATCTCGGGCCACCGATCTGTGCCCTCTACCCTTTGAATGGGAGTATTTCAGAGCCCCCTGGGGCTAACCCAGGGAGTGGTTCCTGCTGCCTCCTGCTGGGCCAAGAGAGCCAGATGGGCCTGGTTGCTTTGGCAGGCGAAGGGGTGGTGCTGGCAGTGGCCCAGCAGGTGGCAGCACAGCCCTGAGGTCTAGGCAGCTGCGTGATTTTCTTGGCCATAGTTGTGAGAATGGAATGAGGCACCTGCCTGCTGGCTCTTCCGCGGGCCACTGGCAGCTTGCCTGTAAATGTCCTCATTTAGCACATATTAGAGAGAAGTATTTATTGGTTCCCTCTGAGAAGTGGAAGTTCTGGGTCCAGAGGCTCCTCCCAGGAGGTTTGAGCAGCAGGTAAGGTATGCAGGCAGAAGTGAGTGCAAGCCCTCAGGAAACTGAGCACAGATTCTGGGATTTTGTGCTCTGCCTTCCCTTAAACCAGCTGAGTGCGTAACATATGAAAGGGAATCTTGGTAACAGTTTATTTTTACTAATGTAAGAAACATTACTTTCCAAATCAGATATGCAAAGATAAAAACTAAAAATGGACTATAACCTCCCCACCAATATAACCTCTGTTGACAATAAAAAATGATAGTAAAATAAGATTGGTTTAAGGGTTGAAAATTTGAAGTACAGAATGGCCTAAATGAGATGCGAATGTTTCCCTCCCCTCCATCTTTAGCTTCTCTCCAGAGGAAACCACTCTTAATTTCTTATGATTGCTTTGAGGAAAGCAAAACACAGAAGCTATGCACATGTCAGAGTATCTGAACTATTTTTATTTCATTTATTTAATTGTTTATTTTATTTATATATTTTTAAAGAATGGGTAATTTAAAGTGATTTTTTAGAGAGAAAGGGAGAAAAAGAGAGAAACACCAATCTGTTGTTCCATTGATACAGTCATTGATTGATGCCTGTATGCGCCCCGATCAGGGATCAAACCAGCAGCAACCTTGGCTTATCCCGATGATGCTCCAACCACCTTAGCTACCTGGCAAGGGCCACATTTATTTGTTTATTTTAAATCCAAAATTGGTCATATGATATAACGGTTCTAAGCCTTTTTTCCCCCACACACACTATACTTTGAAGATCCTTCTTTTTTCTTTTCTAAATTGAGATATAATTGATATAATATAACATTGTATTAGTTTTAGGTATTCAACACAAAATTTTGATATTTGTACATCACACGAAATGATCGCCACAGTAAGTCTAGTTAACATTTGTCACCACACATAGTTATAAGATCTTTTCTTTTCCCTTGTGATGACTTGAACATCTTTCTAGTCAGCACAGATAGGCTTCCATCTATCATAATTTTTTAAATGGATCTCCCTGTTAATGGAGATTTTGGTTGATTCCAGTAGGGGGCCAACATAAACAAAGGCGCAGTGGGCATTCTTACACACTTAGGTTGGCGTGCTTCTGTAAGTCTGCCTAGGACTGGGTTAAAGGGAAAGCAAATTTAAAATTTGATGGCAGAATTTTCCTCCAGAAATGTTGCCGCAGTTCACATGCCTACCAAGAGTGCTGAGAGTACCTGTCCCCGGGTGGCTGTGCAGAGCCTGCCCCTCTGGGAGCCCATGACATCCCTGGCGGTCAGATTGGCCACTGGGCAGGAAGTAGGCTCAGCCCCTCTGCTCCAGGCAGCAGTGGGCTCCCTCCACGCCCTTTGCCTCCTCCACTGCAAATCTCTGTGGGGGTCATGAGGTGACTGCCTCAGGGCGGAAGCCAACAGCCTCTCTTTTAGGGATGGGGAACACTTTCTGAGGGGATTTCCCTTATCACTTTAGCAAGGCTTTGCTCTTCATTCTGGGTGAGAGAAGGTGAATGACTGTGTCTTTTGATTCTTCCAGGTGAAAAAGGCATATAGGCAGAAGGCCCTCTCTTGCCACCCAGACAAAAATCCAGATAACCCCAGAGCAGGTGAGACTCTCCCGGGCGGGCGTGGGGAGGAGGAGGCCGGCCCACCTAGGCATGGTATGTTTGCCGCCGGTGCTCCCGTGGGAGTGCTGTGGAATGCTGGAGCTCCCAGCGTGGCTACTGGTGTTAGGGGTGCCTGCTCAGTTGCTGATGCTCCTACCCTTCCTTGCTGGTCTCTCATCTGCTGATGTCGGCTTTTTTGTCTGCCTGTGGCTTCTTTGAGGTGCTTATTTTGAGGGAGTACACTATTACTGCATCTCATTTAATTTTTCTCCTCTCTGTGTTTTGATCCTTGTGTTTAGCTGAACTCTTCCACCAGCTTTCTCAGGCCTTGGAGGTACTGACCGACACTGCAGCCAGGGTGAGCACATCCTCCTCCACCTGAATTGTCGCCATGGTTAGAGACCACCGTGGTACTTCAGCCCCAGTCCTCTGTACTCTGCCGTGAAGCACAGTCCTTGCTGTCCCAGGCTAGAGACACTCCAAGTGGCTGTGGGGCTAGGTGGTGGGGCCTTATGCTTGTTCTCTGGCTGACTGCCCCCCTGTGTTCCTTTCTCCCGCCAGGCTGCATATGACAAGGTCAGGAAAGCCAAGAAGCAGGCAGCTGAGAGGACCCAGAAACTAGATGAGAGAAGGAAGAAAGTAAAGCTTGGTAGGTGACACCATGGTGCTGGGTGGCCTGCTGTTTCCTAGGCCGTTTTTATGCAGCTCCCTCACCTTTCTTCTTGGAGCTTCATTCAGTTGCAGCAACTTAAAGCCTCTTGGCCCCAGCTCTGGGGAGAACCTTGTTCTCAGGGGTGGATCCTAAAGGACACTCTCAGGGATAATAACAATGGCTAGATTTACTATTAGCTAAGCACTGTGGCAAATGTTTTATTATCTCTTTTAATTATCACAGTGCTCCAAGGGTGGGTATTACTAAAGCCATTTTTTGTGGACAAAGAAGCAAAGGCACCAAGGATGAGAACTTGCTGGAGCTGTGATTTAAACCCATGCAGTATGAGTAGATCCATGTTCTTGTTCACCATGCCATCCTGGGTCTATTTATTCATTCTAGCCTCATTTCTTTTTTTATCCTCACCCGAGGAAATGGGGGTGGAAGAGAACGTCAATGTGAAAGAGAAACATTGACTTGGTTGCCTTATACACACCCCAACTGCGGATCGAACCAGCAATCTGGGTGTGTGTCTTGACTGGGAATCAAACCTGTGACCTTTCAGTCTACTGGCCAACACTAACCAACTAAGCCACACTAGCCACATTTCTGCACAAAGCTTTCATTTTGAGAAGTCCTCTCAGAAGGATCCAAAGAGGTCCAGGCATTCTTTTTTTTTTTTTTTTTAAAGCAGTTTTATTGATTTACATTTTTTTATATTATAGTATCCACCCATTTCAGGTGTACAGTACAGTGATTTCTAGTAATATGCCAAGTGCTGTAACTATGACTGTAAATCAATTTCATCATCCCAATAAGATTGGTTCAGGCCTTCTTCACTCAATTTTCTCCCCATCTTCTTGCCTATTTGATATCCATATATTTAATATGTACATATACCGTCCCAGTGCATCCATCTCTTTACCAAAAACAAACAAAAAACACCCCTAGAGATTGTAAGTAAATAAAATACACAGAAAAGAAAGCAGTGAGTCCCAGGCCTGAGAGAAGGGTTTATCACAGCAGCTGTCCTGGAACAGGGCCACAAGCAGTTTCTCCTTGGAAAGCAGGAAGGGCTTCATGACGTGGGGTGATGTCCTTACAGAGTCTGCCATCCCTGTAGGAGCCACTGTAGCCGGGTTCACAGTGAGGCTTGGTAAATGTGAGTTGAGGGCCAGGTGAAGGAGACAGTGACAACGTGGCTCAGTGGTGGGAAACACATCAAAGCCAAACAACACTGCAGGCCGGGCTGTGGCGCCAGACCACAGGAACGGAGGCCAGCTGCCCCGCTCCCCGCCCTCCCTGACATGTGGCCCTGGGCTGCTGCCATGAGCACCCACCCACACCCTGCTCACCGATCAGAGGGCCAGCTTGGTCAGTGTGAGCTGATTTAACTCTTCTAGACCCCGGCCACTCAGCTGGAGCCTATACTTCTTCCGTGCTCTGACTTTTCCTTAATGGAAATTAATTTGAGGGCACATGGGCATGGAGGGAGGGGGCAGAGTTACTTTATGATTTCATCCTGTGTGAGGCTGGGGAAGCAGCCAGAGCTGGGGGTGTGAGGCCATGGAGAAACTGCTTAGACCATCCATTGGGCCGTTCAATCCCTGTGCCTAGACCTGGAGGCCCGGGAGCGGCAGGCTCAGGCCCAGGGCACTGAGGAGGAGGAGGAGAGCCGGAGCACCAGGACGCTGGAGCAGGAGGTGAGCTTCCGGGCGTGTGGGCCTGAGGCCACCTGCAGGAGGTGAAGAGGGTGGACATAGGTGGCTGTGGCGGCTGGGGAGGCCATAGCCTTCCCACCTTCTTCTGTGGGATCGGGGTCATCTGCCCGACCCGCAGGTTGCTGAGCCCTAGTTTACAGGTGGAACCTCCTGGGGACCTTTACAAGGGGAGCCAACCTGGAACTGGATCTGCACAGAATTGTCACCCCCCAACCCCCCGCTCTGCAGATCGAACGCCTGCGAGAAGAGGGTTCCCGGCAGCTGGAGGAACAGCAGAGGCTCATCCAGGAGCAGATACGCCAGGAACGGGAACAGAGGTTGAGAGGTGAGAGTCCCTCACCTCCCGCCGCCTCCCACTCTGAGGTGGCTCTCTGTGGAGTCGTTGTAGAGAATTCTACCTGCGGGAACCCTAGTGGCACCCCACTTGGACACATGCCACCTGTCCCTTCCTCCTACCAATTCTCTGGGGCCTGTTTGCTTTTCACTCTGCCCTAGATCTCCTGGCCCAGAATGTCTTAGTCCCAAGTCAGGCTGCCTCTATTTTAGTCCCAAGTAAGGAGAAAGACACCGGAATACTTTGTTTTAGTAGAACTGTGTGGTCTGTACCTCTGTGTCTGGCCCCCGGAGGCGCTCACAGCCCTGCGTTGGAGCGCTAACCGTGCCCTTCAGCAGGCAGCTGTGCGGACTGCCCTGGGGGGGCTGGGGGTGGAGTTTCCTCTCCCTCCCCCGCTCCTCAGCAGGGGGCAGATACTACCCTTGGTCAGAAGTGACCTTTTCTGGGTCCTTCTACCCCTAGGGCAGAAGTTCTCCTTTGGGAGAACTCTCTCTCTCATACTCTTACCTTACTAATTTTCCCAAATTTTCTAGGAAAGGCAGAAAATCCTGAAGGCAAAGAAACTCCCAAGCTAAAGGTGAGCCTCATGGGGACCCATGGGTCACCGGACACTACCTCCTCTCAGCAAGAACACATACTTTCTGTGGCTCAGGGGGTTCTGGTGGGGACATTGCATCCTGGGAGCCTGCACCGCTTCCCACGCCCTCTCATCTCCCGCCGCCCAGGGGTCAGGAGGGCCTCTCAGCGCTGGCCCCGGAAGGCCACTCTTAGCGCACCCTTTAGGCAGTGCTCCCCGGAAACCCTCCAGGAGAGCATCTAACGGGGCTGGCACTGTGGCTGTGGGTGGGCAGGCTGCCCTGCCTGTCCGTTTTCAAGGGGAACACACTTTTGGGGGGATGCTCCCGTGATTACTAGTGGAGAGAGTCGGTTCAGACTGGAAAGCTCAGGTATGGGGTCTGGTCCTGTTCAGGCAAAGGTTGGAAATCAGTGGTGACGCCCACTGCTGTCTTTCCAGCTAAAATGGAAGTGCAAGGAAGATGGGTCAAAAGGCGGCTACTCCAGAGATGTCCTCCTGCGGCTTTTTCAAAAGGTCTGCCCTGCTGACTTCCTTCTTTCCCATTGCCTCAGTCCAAAGCCCAGGATTTCCACGCCTCAACTTCCCTAACACCTCTACCTGCCTTGTTTCCTGTTCATAGACCATCAGACAGTTTGGCCTGCACCCAGGCCACAACCCCCTCTCACTTGTGTTGCTGGTGCCCCTCCAGCCTCTCTCACCTGCATGGCTCACTTCTGCCTCTGCCACCTGAGAAGCAGAGGGCTTGGCTGAGTGTGTGGGGAAAGGAGGGGGGCATCTGGCACAAAAGCCCTGTCCTCTTCACCGTCTCTAGTCACTAAGGCAGCTTTGCAACTCTTGCCAGTCTGAGTCCCAGTCCTTTACCAAACTCTCCTTTGCTTTGCTTCTGCATTCCTGGAACAAAATCCTTTCCTCCCCATTTGTGATCTCCCCTCTCTGGAAACCTGGCAACAAGAACTTATCCCCCAGCTAAACACTCCCTGATGGGCCTCAGGGCAGCCCAGGCATGTCTCTGGCATGAGCTGGGCCTTCCTTGTCCCCACAGTATGGAGAGGTGCTCAACCTCGTGCTTTCCAGTAAGAAGGCCGGCACCGCCGTGGTGGAGTTTGCAACCGTCAAGGCCGCGGTGAGTACTGTGTGAGGCTTCGGGGGAGCCACTGCCAGCCCTGCCATTCCAGGGTGGGGACTTGGTTCTGTGGGTCCCCTGAACTTAGGCATCCACGCTCTCATGGAGTCTCTGGGCCAGCTCAGAGCCGAGGGATGGGCAGGAGAGTGCGCTAGGGTAGTGGAGAGCACAGACCGACTTCATGTCCTGCTGCCTGGCTCAACAGCCTCCACTCTGCCGCCAGAGCTGGCCTGCCTCCGGGCTGGGGCCCCACACTGCCTTTCCCCTTTGTCCAGCTACGCAGTCAGAAGGCTTACACCCCCCGCTCACCCTTGAGGAGGGTCAAAGCTTCGGTACACCAAAGGAAAGGTTGTTCAGCTTTGCTTGGAGGATGAGATTGCTGGTTCTGGTACTTTCTGTGGGAGTAGAGAGCGCCACTCCATTGCTGATTGGCATGACGGGACTGACTGGATGCTGTGTTTGGCAGGAGCTGGCTGTCCAAAATGAGGTGGGCCTGGTTGATAACCCTCTGAAGATTTCCTGGTTGGAGGGACGGCGCCAGGGCAAGGACGGCCCCAGGTGCCCACAACCAGCACAGGTAAGGAACCAGGCCGCGCACAGGTGGACGTGCTCAGGATTTGGGGAACCTTTTCCTGTCTGGGCTCTTTCCTCGCAAATCCAGGTAACCCCGATGGAGTCAGGTTGGCAAATCCACTGACCAGAGCAGGAGGACCGTGATTCCATGCTGACCCCCTTTCCTCTGCAAAGGCCAGTGGGCCCCACCCCACATAGAATTCTTAGCCCTCCCCCCATATCCTAGTCTCCTGTCGGAGACCTTCATCAGCACCCAGAGGGGTTCTGGCCCACAGGCTGCTTGGTTTTAGTGTGAAGCATTTGGCACTTAGACAACCCGTTGCCGTGGGGAAGAGGTCGAGGATGAGGACGAGGACAAAGACAGCTGCTTCCATCCCTAACTCGTTTGCCAGGTGTGTCTGTGGCTGCCCCAGACAGGACCTACTGAGCAGAGGTGATACCCCTCCTTAGAAGTGATGCTAGCTTCCCTGTTGGCACCAGGGCACTCCCTTCCTGGGTGCCCGACTCACGGTGAGGCAGAGACTTCAGCGGCTGTGTCTCAGTGCTGGCTGTTTGTCCTCACAGCACGCACACACACACATGGTGACCCTAGTCACACCTGCCCTCGCTCTGGGGGATGGAGAGCTTGTAGGCCAAGAGCTTTCCCGCCTCTGAAATGGCCCGCAGGTCTGCGCGGGAGCCTCATACTGGTGCGTTCACACCCCACTCTGAGGGGAGAACGCCCCTCGGTGGTCAGCAAGGCCTTTGCTCTCAGTCACTGCAGCCCTGCCTTCCTGCTTGCCCCTCCCCTGCCATGAGAACAGGAAGCCCTCTGGGAATATATCCCAGGCCCTGGACAGAGCAAGAAAAGGAACTGGTCTAAGCCCAACTCAAGGTCCTTCTTTAGAGAGTTCATTCCCTCACCGTAACTCCCAGCATTTCACACCCTAGACGACATTCCACAAGCTGTTTTATAGAACTTTCTTTATTATCTCTTGCGTCCAGAGGGGAGCCTTTCTGGGTACATGCACATAGGAGGAGAGGAGACAGGCCACAGGTGGAGCCGTGGGAGCAGTGTGCATCAAAGCCTCCCGCTCCCACTCTGCCACACCTGGAATCGCAGAACTGCCTGGTCCAGCCAACCTGAGCTCTGGTTTCTAGTCTGGCCAAGCCACAGCGTGGGGCAGCAGCACAGCGTGTGGCGCTGACCTGGTGGGCTCTGCCCTGGGTGGCAGGCCCCCTTCGGCAGAGGGGTCAGGCAGGGCGGAGCTCCCCGGCCCTGGCGGAGGGTTCTGGAGACCAGCTGTGCCTCTTCATGGTAACAGCCATGAGTTTCCTGTCCAGTCCTCCTATGTTCTCGTCGGGGGCCGGATGGAGGGAGGGAAATCTGCCGCTGTTCTTACTGCATTTCCCAAGGGATCCCATCAGAAATAATTCTGGGAACTCCCCAGAGCAGCCCTTCAGAGCTGTGTCCGTGCCGTCAGCTAACAGTCCCCAGAGCCACCCTCCTCAGGCGTCAGGGGCCGCTCTGGGCTGCTGTGTTGGCAGCTTGGGCCTCTTGGGGCCCCTTCGCTGCGAATGACTTGGGTGGCCTTTTCCCTAAGTGATAGTCTATGTATACCTGCCTCGCTCTTCCCAGCTGCCAGCCCCTCCCTCCCGTTGCAGGCCTCCGAGTTTCCACCCTCGCCCACCATGCCCCTGCCAGCCGCGGGCCGTGCTCCAGGCCAGCACTGTCCGACGCGGCTTCTTCCAGGGATGTCGATGTTCGCCCTCCACAGCCCAGTGTGGTAGCCCTTAGCTGGGTGTGGCTGTCGACCCTTTGAAATGGTAGCCAGTGCGGCTGAGGAACTAAATTTTTAATTTTATTTAGTTTCAGTTATTTAAATGTGAACAGCTGATTATAGCTAGTGGCTTCCACATTGGACACAGTCAAGCCTGTCTCATCCCTCTCCCCTCTGGTCTCCCTCACTTCCTTCTTAGGCCTGATTTGGACTGCTTTTGCCTAGACCTGTCCTGTAGCCTCTCTCTGTTGACAGTAGCTTCACAGGTGGCTGTGGCAGGGTATCGCCCATCTGATCTGTCCAGCCCATGTGTCCTCCTTTCTCTGACTCATCCCCTGTGCCGCCCACCCCCTGTGCTGGCCTCTGCGTGGTCCCTGGACTTGCAGGCCCGGCCTCCCTTTCCCAGCCCAGCCAGCTGCCTTCAGGGCTCACAGCCTTTCCAGCTTGCCTCTGTGCATCTGTCCTTCCACTCTGGGGTGATCTGGAGGACTGTTGAGGACCCAGAGGGCAGGCAGGGCCCTGGATTACTAGCCCTACCTTTTTCTTTCTTTTAACGATTTTATTCCTTTTTTAGAGAGGGGAAGGGAAGAAGGGAGAGAAGCATCATCAATGTGTTTTTCACGCACCTCCTCCCGCCCGCACTGGGGGTCTGACCTGCAACCCAAGCATGTGCCCTAGACTGGGAACCGAACCAGTGACCCCTGGTTCACTGGCTGGCACTTGATCCACTTAGCCACACCAGCCAGAACCCCACCTTTTTCTTAATCTGTGACTGTACCTTCCTTTCCCGGGTACTGAGGTTTTTCGTTCTTCCAGTCCCCACACCTCTGCCCACCCTCACCCCATTCAGAGGCTGGGCTCACTGGGAAATTGCTCCCTCAGCATCTGTAGAACTTCCTCAAGAAGTGAAATCCCCAGGTCCACTTTGAAGGAGAAGAAGGGGTCATTAAGGTCCGCAGCAGGTGCCCTCTGGAAGGGGGGAGTATCCGAAAGGTCCTCCTCAGAGTATTCATGGAGGGGGCCCGCCAGGGAGAGTGCCGATGACAGGGTAGCCGAGTAGGCAGATGGGGGCTCCAGGATGTTGGGGCAGCTGGAGCTCTCTCGGTAGAGGCGCGGGGGCTTGGGTGGGGCCAGAAGCGTGGCCCGGGGTTGCTCGTCTCCCCACAAAGGCAGGCGCCGGCCATCCGGCCTCCCTCGAAGCTCCCGGACCACCTCTCTGTTGCTGTACTCCTCATGGTCCCCGCCGGCCGTGCTGGCCTGGCTCAGCACACTGCCCTGCCGCCGGAGTCGCCGAGGCCGTCCCAGGCTCAGTCTCTTGAAGAAGGAGGCATTGCGGAAGGAGCCTTTCCGCCAGGTCTCCATGGACTCAGGTTGCCAGTAGACCTTAAAAGTCCAGTTCAAGAGTGTCTAGGGACCATCTGGTCCCTGCCGGAGCAGTGAATAACAAAGAGCGGGAGACAGTGCCGTGGACTTTTCAGCAGAGGCCGCCAGCTTTCTGCCTAGCTCAGACCTCAGGCTAGCACCGTGGGCGGTGAGATGAGGTCCCAGGCAGAGCAGAGCAGAGTGCTGCAAGTTCCTGGTGTCCGGAGTTTCTGAGAGGGACAGGAGCGGCCTGGTTACTTGATAGGGCAGTGGAAAAAACCCAAAGAGGAGGAAGCAGCACTTACTGGAGCCAGAGCGAGAGCAGCTCCATGGTGTCAGAGACGGATCTTCTCAGGCGGGCAGGAGCGGCTCATTCTCCTTCCCTCTCTCCCCGGCCCCTGCCTCCCTGCCGAGGCTCCCTGCCTCTGATCAGTGCCCGGCTGGTTGTGCTGGTGTGTGGCGTGGAGGTGTGTTTTTCTCAGCTGACTCAGTCAGGTGGGAAGCCAGGGTTTCATGCTCTGAGGTGATTGCAGCATCCGCATGCAGGAGTTGGAGCAGCCATGGCCAACACCCCAGGGCCACTGGGGAGCTTAAGATTCCTCTAGGGGCTCGTCTGGGGGCAGTCCTGTTTTCTCTTGTCACCGCACTGTCTTCTTTTGCCCCACCACCCGGGGCCCTAGCAGGGAGCCCAGCTGCCCAGCCCCCAGTGTGTCTGGGAGGGAGGAGCTCAGGGAGGGTGGTAGTTAATTGAAAGGCAGGCGTGTGGAACAATTGTTAGGGAAGGAAGAGCCCTGTTGCTGGTGTGGGTGACTCAGCCCTGGGGCCCGGCGACAGGCCTTCATTAGCAGAGCCCACAGGTATGGGGGGGAAGGAGGCAGAGGGTGTGTTAACAGGGAGCAGCTCCATGCCAATAAAGGGCTGGCTCTCTCCGGGGCTGGGCTCAGGGCAGGCCGGGGTGACTCTGGGTTTCCTCAGCAGAGCAGCATTACCTTGGGGAGAGGACAACTACCCTCCTCTTGGCCTGACAGTCTAGCTGCTCAGTTTCCTCATCTTCCGCAATTTATCGGGTGACTTCAGGGCAGGAGAGAGCAGCTGAGGGGCAAGGTCCTGCTGCCTCCTACCCTGTGCTCCGTTCCTTCCCCAAGGGCTACCTGGGCCTCACTTGAGGTCCCTCCTTTGTGGAGGGGCTGAGTCACATGGGCTGCCTTGAATTGTCAGCAGTGCTCTGGGCCGAGCTTAGACCACAGGCCTGGCTGGGAGGGCAGCTCTCCTCCGAGCTTTGTCGCCCAGGAGAGAGGAGAGGGGTGGGGCGGTTGGGAGGAGCAGGGGGATCTAGGCTGAATAACACTTCCTGGTTCTATACACCCCTTCCTCCGAACCAGCTGGCCAGGGCCTGGCACTTTACCCCCAGCCACTCCCTTATTCCCCAGGTCACTGACCACCAGTTTCCTCTTGACTTGCTCCATGAGAGTGCACCAGCTTGGCATACTACGGAACAGGGCTCCGCACCTTTGCCTGCTCTGCAGCCCCTTGGTCTGGCTCACTTCTGTGCCCCCTCAGGTGGGCTTCCCACTTCCCACGGCTTCAGCTGCCTCAAGGGAGGAAGTGATTTCATTCCCACTGTGGACCTTATCAGGGCGTAGGGTTGGCAACCCAGGGCTCGTGGCACTGTAGAGCCGCCTCTCCACCCCTCGGCCTAGGCCCATTGAGGTGGTTGTTTATTATTCTTTTGATTATTAAAATGCGGCAGTCTTTAATCCCCTGCACTCTGCTGGCAAGATCATAAAAGAAAAAGAAAAAGCTACAGGCCCTGCCCTCCAGGAACCCTGGTGTGTGTTTTTAGGAGGCAAGCCAGCCTAATGCTTGTTTCTCTTTTTCAGGGTGGGGCTGCTTGAGGCTGTCTAGGGTAGGGCTTCCTTCTCCTGCGTCCTCAGCAGAAGCCAGACCAGAGGGAAGGTGGGCAGCTGCGAGAGAGCAGTGCTCTTACCCCTGCCTGGCAGAGCAGAGTGGGCTTCTAAACCTCTGACAGCGTCCCTTCCCTGGGAACCTGTGAGAAGCAGGGCTACAGGGCAGAGAGCTGAGAGGAAATGAAGCAGGATGTGGGCCTGGCCAGAGCATGAGGAAGTCAGTCACCTGGGAAAGATGAGCCAGAGCTGGCAGTAGATGTGAAGGGCCTGAGGGGGAAGGAGACGGGGGATCGCTGGTGGAGATGGGTTGAGGTGCTGGCCTGGAGGCCAAAGGCCTGCTTGCTCCAAAGAAACACATGATCTGAGATTGCAGGCTGCTCCGGGCTCCCTCCCTTCCTGGGCATCGTTCTTCCTTGACTCTTGACTGTAGCTCTTCTGAGGCCCTGCCTCTGAGTCGAGTCTGTGGGGCTGTGCCCTGATGCCCTGACCCTGTCCTGTCCCTTCTCTGTCCCCTAGGGCTCAGTGGTGTCCGAAAGGGACTATGAAAGCCTCGTCATGATGCGCATGCGCCAAGCAGCGGAGCGGCAGCAGCTGATTGCCCAAATGGAGCAGGAGGACAAGGTGGGGCAGCCCACGTAGCTCCAGTTCTGCCCCCCACAGCCTTTTCCTTAAACCTCACAAATAAACTTTTCTTTTTTAAAAGCCTGCCTGTATTGCATACATAAGGGTAGGGTGCTGGCCTGTCCAAGTGTGGCCCTGGTCGCCGGGCTCTGCCTCAGAGGCCCTGCCCAGGCTGGCTGGCCCTCCCAGCAGCGGGCAGATCCTCAGGAAGGCACTCCGCTTGGTGAGAGTCCCTGCACGTGAGGAGCGTAGGATCAACCACTCATCGTGGCCCTTTATTGGCTTGAACTAGCTGCACAGTCCTGGGGCCATCGCTCTCGGCCAAGGCCAGCCTGGCTCTTGCCAGCCGCTCAGCCCACCCAGGAACATAGACTCCTCCAGGACCCTCAAGCCAGGCCAGAAGGTGGAGGGGCGGCTGGGAGCACCAGGGCAAGGGGCCTGCTCTCCCTGCCCCCTGCTGAGGCAGGTTTCAAAGAAGGCCATTCCCTGCCCAGCGATGCTGGGTCCAGGAAAAATGACAGTTTGCAAAGAGAGGGGCAGGGCAGTGAGTGAGGTGAGGGGTGGGATTGGGGCCCCTGGCGACCAAAGATGGGGTGCCCTGCACTGCTCATTGTGGGGGTCACTCCTTGTGCAGGCACCACACCAGCGTCTGACCCACGCCTGTCATGCTCAGCACACGGAAGCCCCTGCGTTCCAGCTTGTCCAGGACTATTCGAGGAGGGTCGTTGACATAGTACTCTTGGCTGTGAACAGAAGGAGAGGGGGCAGTGTGAGAGGGCACCTGGTGCAAGCTCCACCCACAAAGCTAGTCTGCTGAAGGCCACGCCTGGTCAGGGATGCACAGAACAGTGACTCATATTTGCTGATGTCTTCTAGGCTAAGTGCACATTCCTTGCCCCTCTCCCCGGCTAAGCACTTTTTATGCATTTTCTCATTTATTCCTCTCAGCAACCTGAGGCGGCTCATTGATTGTTCTCACTTCATAAATGAGAGAACTTAGAGGGCTTAAGTAGATTTCCCAATGCCGTAAGACAAGAGAACCACGCTGGTCTGCTGACAGCCCCACGTGCCCTAGCCTGCTGCACTGTTCAGGAGGAACAGGCTGCTCTCCCCAGGGTCCTCACCCAGTGCCTCGCCCCTCCCGCTGCCCAGACTGTCCTACAGTAGCTTGGCCCTAATAGTTCCTGGCTCTGGGTGCCTCTCCCTAGCACAGAGAATGCTTGCTTTTTCTTCTTTCAGGGTGAATTCATTCTAAAGAGCCATGATTAATGGCTCAAGCCCTAAGCTGGGCATCTCCAGACAAATGCCTCATGGCAAAGGGATAGGGTTGGGGTTGGCTTCAGCCCTCCAACCCTGACCCAAGGGGCCAATACCAGCTCTTCTCCCCTTTGCGGGAGCCTTTGAACTGGGGCTCACTCTGGGGACCCTTCTAAGGAGTTCCAGCCTGTGGAGCCAGGGTTCTCCCTGCTTACAGGGTATGAGGTGGGGAGGGGCAGAAAATGAATTAGCTCTCACTGTTTCGACTCGAAACTAGTGAGAAGAATGTTAAAGGAAGTGGCTGAATCCCTAGGCACCTAGTTAAGCTGGAAGTAGGACCCGAGCCGCCTGCTTCCTGTTTCTACGGCTCAGGTTTGTTAATCACCCGGCTCTTCAAGACAGAAACCTTTTCCTCTATGCCTTTGCCTTAATGAGGTCCAGCTTAAAAGAGGGTAGGGCAAGGGGCGGTCCACTTACATTGACCTGCATCCAGGAAACTAGACTCTGTCCTGGGACTTTGCCCTTGTCCTCTCTCGTGAAGGGAGGGCCAATGAGAAAGCCTTAAGAGCAAGCCTGGGGGAGCGGAGGGGCTGCGAGGCTGCAGATGGGACTGGCCTTGCAAGAGCACAGAGCCCCAGGAGGCAGGCAGAGAGGCTCTGAGGTTGGGCAGTGGCCTTGCCCCTGGTTTTGGTGGTGTGTGAAGGGAACAGGGACAGGTCTAGGGGCCAGTGAGAAGGTACTTAGGAATGCTGCTACTTACAAGTTGTTTCCCAGGACGCCTCTTTTTGAGGCCCCCAGATGCTGCATCAGCTCTGGATCCGAGTGCTCATCGCCCACCAAGGTGGGGCCCACCTCCTGCAAGGTAAGCAACAGTGGATGCTTGGCTGGCTTCCAGGCAGGGGTAGAAGGTCTGGACTCTTCTTCCTCCCCTGTCTACTCTCACTGAGTCAGAAAACTGGAGGGGTCAGTGAGGGAACTTGAGGGTTGAAAACAAGCTGGCAAAGCATGAGGCCGGTCAATGGTCCAGCCAAGCAATGCGAGGCTTCTCTAGCCCTTCCAAGCTGAGCTGGGCAGTGCCTGAACTGGCACCTTCATGCCAGGCACCACCCACCACCCCTGTTTGGTGTGTATCAGAAGCAGTTGGAGAGCAGAGAAATGAATGCCTGTCCACACAAAAACTTGTACAACAATGTTTGTAGCAGCATTATTCATTGCCAGAAAGTTTTTCAACTGCTGAGTGAATAAATAAAATGTGATATAGCCATATGATGGAATTTTATTTGCAATAAAAAAAAATGAGTATTGATACATACTGCAATACAGATGAACCCTGAAAACCTTATGTAAGGGAAAGATGCCAGATACAGGACCATATATTATTACAGAAAGTGAATCAGTGGTTACCTGGGGCTGGGGGACTGGGGCGAGGGTAATGAGGAGTGACTGCTAAGGTGATAAGAATGTTCCAGAATTTATTAGGATGATGGTTGCAAAACTCTGAGCATGCTCAAAACAAAACAAGACAACAACAAAATTGAGTTGTAAAATTGGTGGCTTCTATGGTATGTGTATTATATAGCAATAAAGCTGATATATTAAAAAAGAATCACCTGAGGACCACTGAATTCCCACACCCCAGTCTTACAGTTTTGGGAGGCCTGGGACGGGGCTCAGGAATCCACATTTTAACAACTCAAGTGACTGGTTCTCAAACTGCTGCCCTATGGCACTGCCAAGACCGCTCCTGTCACGTGGTGAGCCCGCCCTTTCCGTCTCCCCCGAAGGTTCCTTCCTCTCCGATGGATCACTCACGCATTGGGAGTGAAAAGGGGCAGAGCAGCAACCTGCTGCCCAGCTGGGGGACCAAGTAATATCACTCTGAAGCTAAATAGGGACCCTTGAGGCAACCAGCACCTTCTTAGACCAGCAAACTGCGCCCAGGGGAGGGGAGCGATTTTTTTGGACTCCGAAATAGTGTTCTCCCCACCTCTAACCTCACGGGTGACGGTCTCCCCTTTCTTTCTTCGTGGGCAGGAAGGTTTTCCTTTTCCTTTCCTAAGGCCTCAGGGACAGCTCTCCCTGGACGCACTTAAGGGAGCAGCTAGCGGATGTGGGTGGGCCGGGCTCTTGGCACAGGTGTTTTAGCGTCTTAGCACGTCCTTTTCTTTTTCAAACCTTTCTCTCAGGTTATTGCACTTCTTTCCCCTGCGGAGCGGTTCTGGGTAGGGCAGTGAGTGTTGCACGTGTGAGGTCAGGGTTTCCCACGGAGGTAGGACAGGAGCCGCTAGTGCCCGGAGCTCGCTGGGTAGCGGGAACCCAAGAACCTGGTCTCCGTGGCCCTGAAGGCGGCGGGTGGGCCAGAGTTCCGAGTCCCGGGAGCTCGGCAGAATCCGATCCCCAGCCTCCCTCTCCGGGGTTGGGATAGGGGGTGGGGGCGTGTCCTGAACGACTTCCGGACCGGCACCCCTAGACGCTGCCCAGGAGGGAGGCGCCAAAGTGCGGCTGCAGCCCCGGAGGCCCAGGTCGGGCCCCAACTCCACCGGCCAGGCGGGGCTACTCACCATGCGGATCTGGGTGCTGATGAGTACGTAGGGCATGGTGCGCGCGTTCCGGCTACGCTCCCAACGTGGGCTTTGGGCTTGACACCGACGCCAGCCCCTTGGGCTCCCGGACTGCGACCCGCTACCCCAGTCCCGTTACTCAGGTTCTGGCCTCTGGCGATGCCAACCCGCAGTGCGCCCCGCTGGACTGTAGCAGCGTCCAATCAGGAGCCGGCGCCTGTGACGCGCCCCCGGCACCGGGTGATACAGGGCCCGCCCCTGCTCGAGGACAGCTCACACGGAGGGTGCGTGTCGTGGTTCGTGGTGGACGGCTTCGGTACTCGCGGCCTGGAAGCCAAGATGACCTGCCGGGCTCCCTTTCTACCGTGGGCCAAGTTACAAAGCGCGCGTGTTGACTTTGCACCCTTTTACAGCAACACTTCCAGTAACAGGTTTAAAGTCCTGTTAGTCTCCTCACCCTCCCCCCGTCCCAGTGAAGCCTCCCAAGCTGCAGCCCACAGCACCCAGAGACGCCTCTAAAGGTTTTAGCGGACCCCACTCCCCGTCCCCAAGGCACGTTCTCCAGAGACTCTTTGAGAGGAGTGAAGACGGGGGTTGGAGGCTTGTGGTTACAGCTAACGTACCACCCCGGGAGCGCTGCGCATTCCCGCCTCCCTGACTGTAATCCTAGCACAGCAGCTGGACCTTGCCTTTCAGGGCCGCTGTAACCTGTAAACCTGTAAAGGAACTAAGCGGGTTGGCTGGGTGCCAAGCCTGGAGTGACTTGAACCAACAGAATGTGGCCCGCAGTTTGGAGAGCTTTCCGCGAATCTGGAGAGACGTGGCACAAGCGGGGATCACAAGGCAACCCCTGCAGCAAAATAAACAACTCCCACGCTAGTCACCCAGGAGAGAGCAGAGAGTTCACTTCTGTGCATCCACACCCTCATCTGACTGTAGCAAAATATGACAAGTCAACACTCTTGGGTTTATTGTTATTGGTTCTTTTTTGTTTTCTAATCCTCGATCAGTGAATTATTTTTTACTTGATTTTAGAGAGAGAGGAAGGGAGGGAAGGAGAGAGAGAGAAACATCGATGCACATCCATGGGTTGCCTCGTGTACGTGCCTGACGGGGACTCGAATCCGCCTCCTAGTTCTGTGCCCTGACCAGCTGTAGGGACGATGCTCCAGCCAACTGAGCCACCCGGTGAGAGGGTGACTGGTTCTTTAAAAAAACAAAGCAAAACGAAAACTGTAACATTCCAGCCCAGCAATTGAAAAATCTTGATTTAATTGACAGGCTCTTAGGGGTTATGCTCTGTCTCCAGCACTTTGACAGATGTGAAGAGAGCTGTAAGGGAAATAGGAGGTTGTGTTTCTACAGGATCCTTATTGGTCTGATTAATTTTCTATACCCTCTACCCTGTCCCCATCCCAGGGTTAACAATTTAGCTAGATAGATAAGACATAGACATATTCATGATTAACAAAGCACTTGTTAAATGGACAAAGGATGAATGCCCAGGACATATAAAGTACTATAAATCCATAAGAAAAAGATAAATCAATAGAAGAAACATGGGCAAATGACGAAAATAGCCACTTTTCAAAAGAGGGAATGAAAATGGCCAATAAACATATAGCATGATGTTCAAGATGATTACAAATCCCGGAAATGCAAATTAAGCTACATTTTAATCACAATGAGATACTGTTTTAATGATTGGCAAAAAAAAAAAAGGAGTAAACATCAAGTATTGGTGAAGATAATTGGTGAAGATATCTAACAACTGAAACACTACTGTTGGGAATGCAAATTATGGTTGATGCAGTATGATGCAGTTAACCTTGTACCACGGAAAACAAGTTGGCATGATCTGGTAAAGCTGAAGATATGCATTCACTATGACCCAGCCCATTTCCTCCTACATAAACCTCAGGAACACTCACTGGGTTCAAGAATATTCATAACAGCACCCTGACCGGTGTGGCTCAGTTGGTGCGGTGTCCTCCTGCAAAGTGAAAAAGAAAAGATGTCCGCTTGATTCCTGGTCAGGGCTGATTGATGTTTCTCTCTCACATCGATGTTTCTCTCCCTATCTTTCTCAACTCCCTTCCCCTCTCAAACAAACCAGAGGTGGTTAAATTATAAAGAAAATTAAGGGAATTATAAATGTAAATTAAGGGTAAGAGTTATCTTGGAGAGCAGCTAAAGGGATGGGATGGGGAAAAACATGTATTATAAATATTCTTTTGTAGCCATTAAATACTTTATAAGAACAATTTAAAAATAAGAACAATTTTTTAAAGTGTCAGTTTCCTTAGAGCAGTAACTTTCAACCAGTGTGCCTCGAGAATTTTTAAAACATGCAATACCTAACTATTTAGTTGGGGGCACTGACCTCTTTTCCCTTAGACTGTCAAATTTAAAAATGACAACAGCCAACACAACAATAGCTGTCCGGTGTGAATGCCCTGTCTTAGCCATAAATATATAGGTTATATAATAGAGTTGCATCTTACTGGTCTTGTTACATAAGGTTGTTCCTGTTGGTTAATTCAAGTATAGGCACCTGATATTTTAAAAACTCACTTTGAAGCAAAAAATGGTAGGTTATTACTACTGGTATTATTTTTTTTCTAAATCAGTCAAAATTATACCTTTTATTTGTCAGATTGGGAAAAAGTGTTTTTTGGTGTGCTGCAGAATTTTAATAATTACTTTGTATGTGTCAGGAGATGGAAAAGGTTGACAATCGCTGCCTTAGAGGTTGGATACAGGGGTACTGCCACCGTCCCAAGGCAGCGATTTTCAACCTTTTCCATCTCATGATACATGTAAGTGAATTATTAAAATTCTGTGGAACACCAGAAAACATTATATTTTTTTGCCAATCTGACAAAAAAATAGGTATAATTTTGATTCCTTCACACTAGGTGTTCCGGGTGGCTATTGTTCATGTTGGCCAGTGTAATTTTTAATTTTTTATTACTACTCTTATTTATTGTTGACACTGTTGCAGATGTCCCCATTTTCCCCCTTTGCCCACCTTCATCCGGCCCCTGCACACCCCTCCCCCCGCCTTCGCCACACTGCTGTTTGTGTGCACGGGCTATGCATATATGTTCTTTGGCTAATCTCTTCACCTTCTTTTATTGAGACCTGTTGTCATTTTTTAACTTGACAATCTAAGGGAAAAGAGGTGAGTGCCCCTGACTGAATAGTCAGATATTGCATGTTTTAAAAATTCTTGTGGCACAACGGTTGAAAATTGCTGTCCTAAGGCATTTGACTATGTTCCAAGTGAGTGTCATGTGCTGGTCAGAGATCAGAACAGGAGTTTGGGGCCTGTCTGCTCTGATTTCCTCTCTCAGGCTGGGCATGGGGAAGTGAGGAGGCGACGGAAGGGCACTGCATATCTCAGGCTGCCAGGGCTTTATTACATTTGCAAAACTGGTCTGCAGATGCAGCATAAGATAGAGAGCTTCATCCAGAATAACCCACCCCCCTGCTGATTGCCCTGGCAGCCTCACGCCTGCCAGATAACATCTTTAATATCCAGGGGGAAATGAATTCCGTCGCTTGGTCTGCCCATTTGGCCTCGCCTCTTGCCATAGTCTATTTATCTGGCAGATCTTCCTCCCCTGTAAACAGAGGAGAAATTATTCTTCCACAACTCAGCTTTTCATCATGAAAACATTGTCCAAGTGGCAGGGCCTGGATATTGCTCATTCCTTCTTTCTTTCCTCTATTTAGCTTTTATGGATGGCTTGTGGATTAGAGTTGTGCTAGGCACAGGGGACATGGAGACGAATGAGGCGTGAACTCTGTCCCAGAGCAGGGAGCAGTCCAGTGAGGCAGACAAACTAGAAAGCAAATAATCATGGGACCAAGTGGAATAGGGGTAATAGAGCTTCAGAAGCAAAAGAGGATAAAAAGATGAATTCTATGAGAGGAAATGAATTTTTATTCCCTCCAAAATTAAATATTTTTTTCTTATTACAGAATAAAAATTTACACATGCGTAGTTCAGGAAAAAAATGAGGAAAATAAGGGAAAGGAATATTAAAAACATTCTTCAAACATGAAAACACTTAACCTAAAAATAAAAGGCCAACATGAGAGGCAACAAGCGTTTGATAACTTATTGAGTTCAAAAAGAATAGCTATTGGGGAAGCTTTGATTCACGCAGAAGCCCAGATAAAGTTCTGGCTAAGAGGAGGCAAAGGCAAGGAGTATTTATGAGAAAGGGAAGGGGAACTATTACCATATTTTGCCATGTGTAATGTGCACCCATATTTTTGGCCTAAGTTTTCGGGAAAAATAATCTTCCGTTTTAATTTTTAAATTCAATTATTTATTTATATTTAGAAACAAAACTGATTATCGTATTCCAGGGTATTATTTTGCATACAGATATCATTATTGCTTTCTAGAGTTACACCTTTTTTAAAAAAATTGTATTTATTTATTTTTAGAGAGAGGAACGGAGGAAGAGAGGGAAACATCAGTGTGGCTGCCTCTTGAGCGCCCCCTACTGGGGGACATGGTTCACAACACAGGCATGTGCCCTGACTGGGAATCCAGCCGGTGACCCTTTGTATGAGGCCAGCATTCATCCCACTGAGCCATACCAAACAGGGCTAGAGTTATACTTTTAATGCATAAGAACAAATAAAATAATTTAAAACTTTTATATAGATACAGAATTAGTACTATCCACGTATAATGCTCCTCCTTATTTTTCCCTCAAAAAATTGGGCAAAAAGTGTGCATTATACATGTCAAAATATGGTGCATCAATACCTAGGAAGGCATTTCTTTTTCTTCTCTCTTTTTTTAAAAAGATTTTATTAAATTTATATTTAGACAGGGGGAAGGGAGGGAGAAAGAGAGGGAGAGAAACACCAATGTGTAGTTGCCTCTCACGCACCCCTGCCATTGGGGACCTGGCTGCCAACCCAGCCATGTGCCCTGACTGGGAACTGAACCAGCAACACTTTGGTTCACAAGCCGGTGCTCAACCCACTGAGCCACACTGGCCAGTGCTCTCTCTCTTTTTTTAAATCCTCATTGAGGACATACTTATTGACCTTAGAGAGAGAGGAAGGGAGGGAAAGAGAGAAACATCAGTTGGCTGCCTCTCATATGCACAATGAGGAGGACTAAACCCATAACCTAGGCATGTGCACTGA